GCACAAGTGGGGGAGCTGGGTATTTAGAGTAACGGGCCAACTTATTGGGCCAACAAAACAACCAACAATTCATTCATGATTATCTCTTTACAATTTCACCAATTTATACAATGCCAGTGTAAACTCAAACACGTGCAGAAACAGTGATTGTGCACAAGCAGGAAAACAGAGAAAACAACAAACGGCTAACTAGCTAACTGTTTGTAACTGAAGATATCTGGACATTCATTACAACCCTTGAACTAAAAAGCCTTTGCATAATAGCCCCTAGCTTTTGCGTATCACAGCTTGAGCAGATAGAACTAACAGCGCAGCCACTAAAACTAACAGTGTAGCCGCTAGAACTAACATCGCATTTGTCAGGTTTCAGGCTTCAGCTCACCCAGCTTCAGTTCACTGACAGCTTTGTAGATTGAACTACTTCCATTCCTGACTAGTACTCTAAGAAATCTCTGTCATATGTACAATGTTTCCAAGAACCCCTCATCTAACAAGTTCAATTAAAAAAAATCCTCATCTAATAACTTGAACAAATAACTCCTGATCATCAATAAAAACTTAGTTGTTTTTAACGAAATTCTGCTCTTGAAACGTTTATACATACATCTGCTATTTTGTTTCGGGTTTTAGTTTGTAATTGTAAGTTTCAGGAAATCTAAGTTATTATTCAAATCTTTGCCAAATTGTAGAACCTTCAATTGAAGAGAGTTTCAAGAACAAAATAAGTTGATCTAAAGTGCATATATAAAAGCTTGAATTCATAGCAATCTGAATTTATGAAAAGAAAAAAAAAACCAACGTGATTATACGCATATCTCATTGTTACTCGATATGACGCATGTGGTAACTGCGGCTTAAATCCTAAATCAGTTATAGTCTATTAATTTTGATAAAGTAATTTAGAACATGTTTAGATGACAAGAAACATTGAAAGAAAGAAGCAGATCAAATAATTAACTTCTAAAATTATGAAGTAGGAAGTAACAAAAGTAATATTTTTTTGCTTGTTTCACATATTTTTGAAGTACCGGAAATGGTAGATGTTCCTCTTCGTTCACTTTTTTTGAGGAAGTTGTTGTGCGCAGCGGAAATTTCGGCAGCACCTCCGGTGCGCAAGGTGCACAACAAGAGATTAGATCACAATGAAATTCTTGCTTCTCAAAGGAAACAAGAACCAAAAGCCAGATATCTCATCAAAGTGAGATATCAGCTCTTCCTCTCGTCAGCTCTAGGACTGCGCGTCGAGGGTCCTCTCGTCAACTCTAGGACTGCGCGTCGAGAGATCCTACAAGCTATTACAAATCACGGTAAGAACACAAAATTTTACGTGGTTCGGCAAACTGCCTACGTCCACGGGGCAAGGAGGGGGGAGATCTACTAATAGAGGGAGAGATACAACTGGGGTTTACACTCTCACAATCTAAACCCTCACAAACTCTCAGATCTCTCACACAAAATCTCTCTCAAAAAAGGATACCAAAAACCCTAAAAAACGAAAAGGAGTGCAAGTTGAGGGGGTTCTTTTGTTTCGGCTGCAGGAGAAAAGAAAGAGCAGCGGCTCTCTTCGTTGGGCGTGCAAGTTGAGGGTGCAAGGGAGTTTTGATTGGCGGCTGATTTGTTCATCTTTTGGCAGCGGCTTCGTCTCTCTTTTGGCATCGCGCAGGCAGAAGAAAAGCTGTGTTTTTTCTAGGGTTTTGTGTAGCCGTTTTTTAGGGTTTTTGGTATCCTTTTTTGAGAGAGATTTTGTGTGAGGGATCTGAGAGTTTGTGAGGGTTTAGATTGTGAGATTGTATACCCCAGTTGTATCTCTCCCTCTATTAGTAGATCTCCCCCCTCCTTGCCCCGTGGACGTAGGCAGTTTGCCGAACCACGTAAAATTTTGTGTTCTTGCCGTGATTTGTAATAGCTTGTAGGATCCCTCGACGCGCAGTCCTAGAGCTGACGAGAGGACCCTCGACGCGCAGTCTTAGAGCTGACGAGAGGAAGAGCAGATATCTCACTTTGATGAGATATCTGGCTTTCGGTTCTTGTTTCCTTTGAGAAACTAGAATTCCGTTGTGATCTAATCTCTTGTTGTGCACCTTGCGCACCGGAGGTGCTGCCGAAATTTCCGCTGCGCACAACAAAAAATGGGTGGTACCAAGCACAAATTTTGTGCTTGGTACCAAACATACCCATATTCCTCATATATATATATATTTCCTTCTTTTTTTTCCTTTTTAAGCCCAATTTTTTTTATCCAATTTCAATAAACAAGAGAATTGCAGAAAGTAAATGCAAATTGTATCAAAACTTGGCTTATACCATTCTTATACCATTTCATCTGCAATGTTACTCTTTATACCATAGTGGTAATTGAATGTCACTTTTTATCACAGTCTAATAAATTAGTCAACTTACAACATAAGATAAGATAGTCTATGATCCAACACATCCAATTTATCGCATGGAGGATTGCAGAAAAGAAAGGGTGAGAATTTTCATCACCTTAGTATTATTAATCTAATCGGGTAATTTGGTCATTGGTCATTGTATCTATCACTTAATTGGATGTTTATACCGGTATTTAAATTACTTGGATGGTTGGTCTAGTAATTTAATATTAACTGGATTATTAATCACTTTCATTGCTTTTCCGTCAATTAATTTAATGGATTTCTGTGAGATGGCATGAAAATATCTTTATTATTTGACATAAGAGATTTCTTCCGGTGTAATATCCTAATCACTTATAGAAATGAAAATTAATGACATATTGGGAACTTGTATTAGATAGTCATATCGTAATTGAAGTATTATTCGTACAAAATATTAACTTGTGACATATCATTCAAATGTGGGACCACATTCACACGGGTAATGAGTGGATGTGGATGTGACATATCACTACTAAGCACAAAATTTATGCTTGGTACCAAGCATACCCATATTTCTTTTATATATATATATATATATATATATATATAAAGGAAAAATAAAAAAATGCAAACTGAATTCTTGTAATTTACCTTTTCAAAGACCTCCTTCTTGAACTCCTTGGTCCCCTTAAAGATTTCCTCCATAGTCATCGACGCAGCGAGAACCCTCGTCTCCCCCTCAATAACACCCTGCACCAACTCCTTCACATGGTTCGAGTTCTTGTCGTGCGACGACATGAGCTTGGCATACTTCAGCATCATTTCCTCCTCATCCTCCTTTGGCCCAATGGTGAACACAGCCGGAAGAATAAAGGGCAGTTTCTCTGCGCTCATCGCCTGCACATCGAACTCGTAGTTCACTGGAGATATGTCAATTCTTGAATATGACTGGCCCGGGAAAATCCAGGCTTTTTTCGCTAGCTTGACGTCGCTGATGCGCCATCCCGTGATGGCTAAGTATTGGGAGGCCGAGGCTACTTTGTAACCCATCGTTTGATTTTCTTGAGGAATGAAGGAGAAAGAAAAGAGAGAAGAGTTTAAGCAAAGTTAAAAGAAGGGAATGCTATTGCATCAAATTTATGATAAGTTTTGAGCAATTCTTGTAAGCACAGGAAACTGATTTGGTGTTTCCTAGCATCTATAGTTGAAAAAAAAAACACCATCCCAGAAATCTTTTTTCTTTTTGAAATCAAGATGAGAGCGGCTTATTTCAAATTTTAGTAATTATTATTATTATTAATTAATTGTAGTATCTTCTTAGAAATTTCATTTATTAACACGGGTTTCTTCTTAATATATATTCCTTATTATATGTTTTCTTTCCTTATTAGAATTTTGTTACTATTAGAATTACCTTTTCATTAATATTCTACATGATGCGTACGTATGGGACATTATATTCTTCTGATTAAGATAGATAAATATAAATAATAATAATAATAATAATAATTATAAACTTGGAGTTATTATGATAGACTTGTAGGTATCTCAAATCTCAAAAATAGTTGCTATAGATATCCTAATCAAAGGAGAAAAAAGCAATATTTTCTGTATCTAGTTAATTGATACGGTAATTCAACCTAGATTGTTGTAATGGGCGATAGTTAATTGATAAGGTACAAGAATATAATATCCCAATATCTTTTCACCTTATTATAGAATATTTATTAAAGTTCTTGTTGAAAAGAAAACTCTTCTGAGGAAAGTTTTAAAGAAGATATCTATAATAAAGATAATTCCTAATTAAAAGATACTATATAATTAACAATAATGACTAAAATTTGAAATAACCACGTGTGTCAGGATTGCAGGACCGGAAACACACAGGATACCCAAACATCGATCTTTTAAATATGAACATAAACAATAGCATCCCCTTTTTGCTCAACTTTCTCCGTTGATCTCTCTGTTTCTTCCCCTTTCTTGATTTTATCTGAAATCTAACCAGCGTCAACAATGGGCTACAAGGTAGCCTCGGCCTCCCAATACTTAGCCATCACAGGATGGGGCATCGAAGACGTCAGGCTTGCGAAGAAGGCCTGGGTTTTCCCCGGGCAGTCATGTTCAAGAATCGACTTATCTCCCGTGAACTACGAGTTCGATGTGCAGGCGATGAGCGCAGAGAAACTGCCCTTTATTCTTCCAGCGGTGTTCACCATTGGGCCGAAGGTGGATGAGGAGGAGATGATGATGAAGTACGCAAAGCTCATGTCGTCGCACGACAAGAACTCGAACCATGTGAAGGAGTTGGTGCAGGGTGTTATTGAGGGGGAAGCTCATGTCGTCGCACGACAAGAACTCGAACCATGTGAAGGAGTTGGTGCAGGGTGTTATTGAGGGGGAGACGAGGGTTCTCGCACGACAAGAACTCGAACCATGTGAAGGAGTTGGTGCAGGGTGTTATTGAGGGGGAGACGAGGGTTCTTGCTGCGTCGATGACGATGGAGGATATCTTTAAGGGGACCAAGGAGTTCAAGAAGGAGGTCTTTGGCAAGGTACTTGTTAAAAGTTTTTATTTTTGACATAAAATTAATAGAAATCCGTTTATTAGTACCTTGTTTTTTCAAGAAACCCTCTTAAGACATATTTTGATATATTTCTTCTCTTTCTCTTAGATTAGGTATTAAGAAGACAAGGAGCAAAAGATAAAACAAAGGGGGTAAAAACCTACATTGACCTCTGTACAAGTTTTTCAAGAAGAACATTTCACTTTAAAACTCTAATGGGGTTTTAATGGCAAAACGGAGTTTTTTTGTTCAAGCTATTATGTGAGGAACTTTTTTTGTTTTAAACGTACATAGATGAGGGACAGATGACTGAGATACTGTTATAATCCATGCTACATTTTTTTACCTAATTTTATCATCTTATATAATGGAATATTTGTTATTATATACTATAGAAAAAGAAAAACAATTGTTGCTCGAAAATCTAGCTTTTCAAACGCAGAAAGAAGAATGAAGAATTAAGGAAAAAACCCATCCTTCATTAACAAACACATAAGATATAAAGAAGAAGAATTAAGGAAAAAACCGGGAAGAAGAATGAAGGGTTTTAGCCTTGGAATTCTAAAATTACCCTTACTCGGCCATTTGATTTGTCCAACTTGAAAAAGTAAAAAGTAAATAAACACTATGAATTAATACAGTAGCCATTCATTTGAACCAACTATGGAAGAAACCGACATGCGTCATCTTCTTGCGATTCCAACTAAGATTTCTATGGCTAGCAAAAGAGACATCACTCGTCTCCTCTCATATCTGAGATAGATTCATAGTCACATTTTTTTATAATAGTGTCGATGACAATTACAGCAATTACTTTTATTAAATTGGACGCTAATTTCTAATTCCTGACTTACTATTTCCCAACAGGTTCAACTGGAGCTCAACCAGTTTGGTCTCCTAATCTACAACGCCAACGTGAAGCAGCTAGTCGATGTCACGGGCAGCGAGTACTTCTCCTACCTAGGCCAAAAGACCCAGTCGGAAGCAGCCAACAAAGCCAAGGTCGACGTAGCCGAAGCCAGGATGAAAGGAGAAGTCGGAGCCAAACAAAGAGATGGAGAGACATTGAAGAACGCAGCTGATATTGACACAAAAACAAAGATTTACTCGACACAGAGGCAAGGAGAAGGGAAGATGCAGGAGGCTAAGGTGAAGGCAGAGGTGAAGATATTTGAGAATGAGAGGGAGGCTGAGGTGGCTGAGGCGAATGCCAAGCTGGCGATGAAGACGGCCGAGTGGGAGAAGCAGACGCAGGTGGCTGAGGTGGAGGCAGAAAAGGCCGTGGCTGTGAGAGAGGCAGAGCTTCAGTTGGAGGTCGAGAAGAAGAATGCGATGAGGCAGACTGAGAAGCTCAAGGCTGAATTTCTCAGTCAGGCTACTGTAGACTATGAGATGAAGGTAACATATACATCTGAATGTCATTCTATAAAATCCAATATGTTCGTGGATATCCTGATGTTTATCTCCCTCTCATTGCTGTATGAATCTAAGCTTCTGGTATTAGTTACCTGATCATGTGATTTATTGAATTAATAAACATGGATATCCGAATATTTGCTGTCAATTTTTAGCATAAAAAGAAGTATATAATGGACGGTTGTAACTCATTTATCATATCTGTGAATTTCGCTTATTTTCATCTTTCACTTTGACCAATCTTAATCTTTCGTTAAGTACTAGCTGCTCATAATTTTGGTGGCATTTGACTTGATAATTGTTAGTATTTATGGTTATGGAAGCTGTTTCCTGTGCATCATAGCAAATGTAAGCAGTATTTTAAAGCAGTTTTATTCTATTATATAAGATAAGGTTCCATGCTTTTTGCCTTAAAATTCTTGCAAACTTCTTCATGAACTTACATTTGAGCTCAAAATAAACTCAAATTGATTGAAATTCTGTAAGACGCTAACTAATGTGCGTACTTCAATAGCATGTAAAATTACTACCTTCACAGATGAGCGTTCTAATTGCATACAGGTGCAAGAAGCAAACTGGAAGCTGTACAACAGGCAAAAGGAAGCTGAAGCAGAACTTTACCAGCAAGAGAAAGAGGCAGAGGGACGTCGTGCAGTTGCTGAAGCCGCCTTCTTTTCTCGCCAGCAGGAGGCAGACGGAGAGCTCTACGCCAAGCAAAAGGAAGCTGAAGGACTACACGCTCTGGCTCAAGCACAGGGGTTCTACCTGGAAACGTTGCTGAAATCTCTTGGAGGAAATTATGGAGCACTGAGAGATTACCTGATGATAGATGGGGGAATGTACCGTGATATGGCACGTATCAATGCTGATGCTGTCAAGGGGTTGCAGCCAAAGATCAGCGTGTGGAGCAATGGTGATGGTGCTGGCTACGGAGAGCAAGCTGGAGCTATGAAGGAGATTGCTGGAGTGTATAAGATGCTGCCTCCATTGTTTAGCACGGTTCAGGAGCAGACTGGAATGCTTCCTCCTGCTTGGATGGGTTCCATGCCTGGACCAGCTAAATGAATTTAAATCCAGGGCTCTTCATGATTATATCTGGCAAAGTTTCTTCTAGGAGTTTACAGTTTAATTCAATTTATCTATTTTTTAACTTCGCTTGTGGAATACTCTTAGCGTGGATTTCGTCAGTCTTTTTAATAGGAATCTTGTTCAGACTATCTTCTTTTGATTAATCTTTTGCTAGTTGACTGCAGAATCGAAAATTTTCGCCGAAACTATATTTTTTCTATCACTGAGTAGTTCAACATCTAATTGCTCCTGGATGAGTAATGAGCCTCTTGCGCACGGGAATTCAGAATTCTTCAGTATTCTCTACTTTTAGGTCTGGAAATGCCGATATCTGGGGTGAAGTAAGAACACTTCTAGCTTAGAAACATGTTGGGTTAGGTTAGGTTACTGCATACTTGCCGTGTTATTTCCCTTTGATGCCAAAAGATCAATTGGAAGAGACTGTACAATGTGTAGACAATTACAAATTTTGGTTAGAAGTCCCTAGGGAGCTTATATGTCTAGTCGTTGATGATGTATCTAGCTATTGTGGGCCTTCTAATTTGTTGAGGGTCCTTCTTTCAAAAAAAATGGAGGCCTCCTATAGAGCTCTGAATTGGTTGGAAAGCAACAAAAGAAGTAGCCTAGGAATTTCTTGACACAAAACACAAGATTTGATGTGGACTTTGAATAGAAATATTTAAATAGAGATATTTAGGTAATTCTATGTTTTTAACCTGCAGTTAAGTTTGATGTTAATTTTGAGGGAACTAAACAATTATAGAAGGGCAAGTCTAAAAAATTTTGAGAATAAGGAGAATCCATATATTCATTATTTGTTGAGATTCAATTTTTGAATAGGGAATAAGAATCCTCTCCAATGATCTCATCTCTCTAATGATCTTATATACTAAACAGGAATAAGAAAACCTAATTAAACACCAAACAATAAAAACAATTTGTTGAAGGCTGAGATTGTTTGCTACTGACTAACAGTAACCATCTACTCGCTACAGTAACTGTTATAGGTTGCCTCAAATACTCAATCTATATTGCTTTGGTAATTCCTTTTTAGGTTGGTTTGTTTTGATCAAGAGTTCTACTTACATTAGACTTTACACAACCAATCATATTAGAGGTTTATTCCTACTTGGACTCTTATTGGGTTTTAGGATATGTGGACTTCTATTCCTATTAGAACGCTTATTCCTTAGACAGCAAGGAGTTGGGATCTTCAAGGCTATATAAGAACAATCTTTCAAGCCAATTAGATGCATCAATCTTCATAGCACCAATCAAGAAGAGAGAGTTCTTTTGTGAAGTCTATTTGATATTCTTCTCTTTTATTCCTTTAGTTGAGAGTTGTATTAGGCTTTTGGGGTGTTATTTAGATTGAGTGATTGAGAGATTCACTTTGTATTCCTCACAATTAGTAAAGTTTTCTCCTCCTTCGCCCGTGGACGTAGGCTACAAGTCGAACCACGTATTATTCCTCACAATTAGTAAAGTTTTCTCCTCCTTCGCCCGTGGACGTAGGCTACAAGTCGAACCACGTATATCTTTGTGTTCGTGTGTTTTCGCCCGTGGACGTAGGCTACAAGTCGAACCACGTATATCTTTGTGTTCGTGTGTTCTTGATATTTTTTATGCTCTCGTGTGATTGACATTAGCTTATCTTGGGGAATTTGTCATAACAAATTGGTACCATAGCTAGGTTAGCTATCAATCAGATGAGAAGATGACAACAACTACTACGAAGTGGGATATCGAGAACTTTAACGACAACATCAGTTTCAGGCTTTAGCAAGTTAGGATGATCGTCATGTTGACACAGAGTGGATTGAAGAAGACTTTGTTCGGAAAGTTGAAGAAATCGGCTACTATAACGGAGGAAGATTGGAACGAGTTGGATGATAGAGCTCTCACAGCGATCCAGTTATGTTTGACAAACAAAATTTTACAAGAAGTTTTCATAGAGAAAACAACCGCTAATTTGTGGTCTAACTTGGAGGATTGTATTTGACGAAATCGCTCACTAATCGCCTCCTCTTGAAGCAACGTTTGTACATACTTCGGATGTCGAAAGGAACACCTATCAAATCTCATATTGGTAAATTTAATTCTGTAATTATATATTTTAGTAAGATTGATGTTAAGATCTATGATGAAGATCAAGCCCTATTGTTATTGTGTTCTTTGCCGCCTTCCAACAAGCACTTCAGGGATACTATGATTTATAGTCGAGATTCTATTGGTATCAAGGACGTCAAAGAGAACTTATTGAATAAGGAGAAGATTAACAAAGAGTTAACCACACGTGAAAGTGACGATAAAACTGATAGCTTGTTTGTTCGACGAAGATCAGAAGAAAGGGGCTTTGGAGGTAACAGGTATAAGTCGAAACACAAGAATCTGACCAGCAGATATTGTAAGAAGAAAAGGCACATCAAGACCGATTGTTACAGATTGAAAAATAAAAATAAACAAGAAGAGTATGAAGAAAAAATTAAAAGAGGACTCCGTTGAAGTTGATATTGCTGAAGATGTGATTTTGTTAGCTACAGATGATATAAATAGAAGCATGGATGATTAGATTTTGGATTCGGATTATTCCTATCATATGTGTCCTAATCGAGACTGGTTCACCACTTATGAAGCTATTGATGGTGGAGTTGTTCTTATGGGGAACAACGTCTTATGAAAGACTGTTGGGAAAGGCACAATTCGGATTAAAATACATGATGGAGTCATCAGGACTTTTGACAGATTGTTGATGTTAAGTATCACACATCTAAATAAAGTCATAGAGTTTGCAAGGGCCATTTTCCTCTTTGACTTTATGCCTGATTCTGGAGTTAAGATGATTGAGCAATCTGCACATAAAGAGTCGTAAGAGGGCGAGGATAAATTCCCCCGTGGTACCTCCGACGATCAAGTCAGTTAATGAACTTGAGATTCAGTGAAATAACAGAACTGTGTGTTCTTATTTTTTGTGTAGTGTGTGCTCTTGGAGGTTTTAGATTGCGAACCTTTAGCTATAGCGAATAACATCTACATTTAAGGGGGATGTCGAGGGCAGGTTGGTCACTCCATGAGTCTACAGTAAGATGGTAGTGAGGCGGTGATGTGGAGTGAGTTAGAAAATAAGTTATCATTTGCTTCACACGTATTGGTTTGTGAGTGACGGGAGATCACTTTGGCAGCATTGGGAGCCAGCAGCCGACAAGTCTTCAAGACTGTTGAGGAGTGACACTTAATGATAATCATCAAAGAAGAGAAGCGAGATCTTGGCGAATTCCTATGCATAAAGAGAGGATTTCGAGAGATCTGCAAGCTTTTCACCCATTCTCTTGAGATCAGACCTTGTTTCGATCTTGAGAAGAGTAGTATTCTCACTTTGTTGAGGTTGTTCACTTATGTTCTAAGTTTTCATGATTGAAACAAAGAACATCAAGCATTCTTTTAGATCAACCCGGATCTGTTATTCGGCAGTCCACGGATCAAAGCGTCTCCGGTATAGGCAAAGATCCCACGCAAGCAGTAACTGATAAACGATCTTTGTGTGTGTTTCTAGGAAGTCTTGTGTGTATTTATTTTGTGTAGAAAAGTCTTATAAAAAGGCTAAATCTTGTGAATCTATTATAATCGATAAACGACTTATAATGGATTCCACTAAGAAACAGATTTCCGACGCAAACAGTGACCGTTGTGGTTGGGTCGGGCTCGAGCTGCCCGGCCAATGGTCACATTCGTGACCGGGCCCGACCACAACGGTCAGCCCAACCAAACTCACTTTCGTGATCGTTAGACCACCGGACCGGGCCATTCCGATTCGATCCATTTTTGCGCCGAATGCGGGCCCGGGCCTTGGGCCCAAATGGAAACCTAGATACAAGTGATACTATGAGTCTTTTCTAATGTAATCCTATCCTTACAAGAGTTCGCTTACTACTATCGTGAAGCTTTCAAGTTTAAGAAATGAGAGATATTCTGTGGGGCTAAACAAGAGACGAGGTTTGTCACGCATATTTAGGGGTTCTGACATGGCAAGATCCAAAAAGCAGTGCCTGAATAGGAGATCTAAGCAGATCGCCCCTGGAGAGAGAGAGAGAGAGAGAGAGAGAGAGAGAGAGAGAGAGAGAGAGAGAGAGAGAGAGAGAGAGAAATGAGAGAGAGAAATGAGAGAGAGGAATAGCGGGCACAAATTAGAACCTGAATGGTAGATGCTTCAATTGGCAAAGAATTTATTATGACAAAATCCCCATGAATAGACTAATATAAATCACAGAAGAGTGTGAAAAATATCAAGAGCACACGAACACAAAGATATACGTGGTTCGGCTTGTAGCCTACATCCATGTGCAAAGGAGGAGAAAAGCTTTACTAAATAGTAAGGAATACAAAATGGAGATCTTTCAATCATCAATCCCAAATAACACCCCCAAAAGCCTAAAACAACTCTCTCAAATAAAAGAACAAAAGAGAAAAATATCAAATATGTTTCACAAAAAAAAAATCTCTCTTCTTGATTGGTGCTCTGAAGATTGATGAATCTAATTGGTTTGAAAGACTGTTTTTATATAGGCTTGAAGATCCCAACTCCTTGCTGTCTAAGGAATAAGAGTTCTAATAGGAATAGAAGTCCACATGTTCTAAAACCCAATAAGAGTCTAAGTAGGAATAAACCTCTAATATGATTGGTTGTGTAAAGTCTAATGTAAATAGGACTCTTGACCAAAACAAACCAAGTCATAAAAGGAACTCCCAAAATAATATGGATTTGAGTATTTGAGGCAACACATAACAGAATTTGTGATGTCCTGCACACGTGTGTTTATCGGGGTTGGGTCTTGGCAAAAGCCCCTATGACACTTGCAATGGAAAGCAAACTCATGATGTGAGTGGCTTCGTGACTAAGATAGAGAGTCTGTACTCAAATTCAAACTTAATACCTTCCATAGCCAAATGTTGTGATCTTTATTTAGGCGAGTGAAATCCTCTCCCCTAGCATATCTTCGTTATAAATTAAGTTGATCACAATTCAT